ATCCATCGTGCCGAGCACTTTGTAAGATGTCTATCATTATTGTTTATGTATCTCCTCTACAGAAAAAACTTTTATCCTGCGTAAGATTCATCTCCATTTTTTCAATACAGACTTGTTAAGCGTTTTGGCTCACTCTGTTTCCTCCTGATACGGAACTGCTTAGTGAATTGGCACACACTCTCCTGTCGGAACTGTGAGAGCCGATCTCATGGAACAAAAAATCTCTGGAGAACATGAGGCATGCCTGAGAGATACATGGCTCCTTTTGTGTTCAACATTTCTGCTGAGAACGTAAAACCTTGTCGTTAAACCTTTGGGATTTCTCTTCTTCAGGCTCGTAGCTGCAGTCTGGCTGTGAGGTTTGCAGGTGAAACTTCTGCTGCATTCACGTGCGATCATTTCTCATTCAAGCCATGTTGCACTTGGTAATGGGGCCTGTCATGTGTGGTCAAACGGTGGCATTAATAAGTCTCCGCTCGACTATGCTCTGTGGCCGTGCGATTACCTGTCACACTTCATTTATCTATTGTAAAAACATTCCATGACTCTTTCCTGCGCACCCCGTTTAAGAATGATCTTATAACACACACACACACACACACACATAACCTTGTGCTGTTCAAGCCCATCCGATTATATACATACATCATACTCCTCTGACACAAAGGTATTTCTCAGAAAACCCTCTAGAGAGTGTGGAGGAAATAAAAACCTCAAGCAAACCAGGTTATATACAGTGATGTGTAGGCCCCCCTTGTGCCTCCAAAACAGTTCTGACCCATCGAGGCATGTACTCCACAAGACCTCAGAAGATCTGCTGTGGTATCTGGTACCAAGACATTGTCAGCAGATCCTTTAAGTTGTGAGGTGGGGCCTTCATGGATCAGACTTGCTTGTCCAGTACAATACATTTGGAGGCCAAGTCAACATCTTACACTCTTTGTAAAGTTCCTCAAACCATTCCTGAACAATTTTTGCAGTGTGTTAGGGCACATTATTCTGTTCAATGAGTTCATTGCTATTAGGGAATACTGTTACCATGAAGGGGTGTACTTGGTCTGCAACAATCTTTAGGTTGGTGGTACGTGTCAAAGTAACATCCACATTAATTCTAGGACCCGAGGTTTCCCAGCAGAACATTGCACAGAGCATCATACTGCCTCCCCTGGCTTGCACTTCTTCCCATAGTGCATCCTGGTGCCATCTTTTCCCCAGGTAAGCGACACCACACACACACCGCCATCCATATGATGAAAAAGAAACTGTAATTCATCAGACCAGGCTAGTGAAGTGTCTAAAATGATGTGCAAGTTCTTGAGAATCATGTGATTATTTATATGTAAAGACCATGTGACCTTTCTGTAAAGATTGCTACAGGAAGGTTCTGTGCTAATGATCAGAATGCTGTGATCTAATCCCAGAACTTTAACCCTTGTAACTCCTGTGTCAAATTTAAGGCATATATCAAGTGATTGATTTATTCATTATTTTTTTTCTTTGAGGGTCTATGGATTTATATCTCATTTATCCTTGTAATTTCGTGTAATTAACAAAAGAGCATTGTGGTGGGAAGGGGATGTGTGGTAGTGTGCCCGTGTTCATTAGGAGCTGTTGTAGAAATGCGATTTTTAATTTTTATTTTTTTGCAGGGAAAGCAGTAGTGAGGAAAGCTCATGCTCTCTAGGGAGAAAGAGAGAGAGAAGCAGGCCAGGTCCTGTGTGCGTTAAAAATTTCCTTTTTTGCACACGTAGGGTCTAATATTTTATTGAGTAGGCTGATATCACAGATGAGCTCCTGCATCTTTATTTGTTAGGCTCAAAAGGGCCAATCATTATCTTTTAATTACCATGGCCCAGCACTGAGAGCCACTATAGGCAGATAATTAATCATGCATAATGGCAAAGCATGAGACAGAAATACGAAGAGGGTTTCGGGGGGGAGCTGAGCACATCGAGTTAATAGCAAAGCATCAGTTACATTATTTGCATATGAACCAACTCCGAATAATGAATTATTACAAGGAAAGCAGTGACGGAGAGAGAGATACATGCGTGATATCTATGTATTCCATATCTGTACGTTGATATGGAAACATTGGCTTTTAATCATTCGCTGAAAACCATCATACCGAAAGTATCCACAGTTTCTCAGAGGATGTGAGTATAACATTTGGATTTCTGAATTTTTTGCAAACATATATACATCTTCCATTTACCGTAACCGTTTTATCCATCCATCCATCCATCCATCTTCTACCGCTTACTCCTTCTTCAGGGTCACGGGAAACCTGGAGCCTATCCCAGGGAGCATCGGGCACAAGGCAGTACCCTGAAAAGGAGTAAGCGGTAGAAGATGGATGGATGGATGGATGATAGTTAGCCTAATGCTAGCTACTTTGCTAGTGACCTGGCATGCTGCTTAGCTTAGACAGTAGCTACAGTAGCTTGCTAGCAAACCAGGTTAATAATTTACGTACAAAATAGTTAATCAATGATTAGCAAGATTATTTTAATGCTCAGTTTGGTTATAATTACTCAGCTATTTAGCAGCACTAGCTAGCTTGTTAGAAAAATTTGTTGGATACTAATGTCAAAGAACTGTTGGGGGAAAAAATTGCTTAGCTGCCAGTATTAGTGCAGATCTGTGTTTGATTAGCTTGTTAGCTTAGCTAACGTTACTATATAAGGATTGTATTGATATGCTATATGATTTTTTTTTTTAATGTACAAATAGTATGGTGTAGGGAAACGAAGTAATTTGACGCAGTTATGTGATGATTTAGGCAGTGATATCTCAACAGTTATGTTTCTGTAGTGAATTTAAGTTCCAGAGTACCTTAAAGGTAAAATCCACCAAGGGAAACTTGCATATTAACGTTTATAATTAGCAAGTGATCTTTAACGATGTCGAAAATGTATTTATTTCATGAGATTCTGATTAGATTTTGTTTAATTTAAAATTAATTCATTGTCCTGTTGATCTATTTTCACTTTGGCTAACAGTTTCCTACATGAACAACAATGCTGTTCGACTACCAGTGCCAGTAGGATTTACGCTACATTCATGGCAACTGGAAACTCGTAATTGACCAACCCAAACCCCCTACTTCCCACATTACAGTGTTCAGGTGAACTCAGATATCATCTGTAAACTGGCTACAAAAAATTGGAGTTAAAGTGTTGTTTGTTTAGTGCTTAATTTGTTTTTAAAGTGGGTGCGATAATTCACTCTTAATAGCACCAAAAATTACATGAAAGAAGGCGTTTGAAGCCTTGCAGAAAACAAATTAATATTTTAATGATCAAAGTATCAACCGGTAGCCTATTTAGCTATTTCAAATACAAACAGAAACGCAATAGGATGCTTAAAAAAACGTGCTGTTATTTTTTGTTCTTGCTTTCAGTATGAGCACCACCATTTCGAAGTGACATCATGGTAATTCGGAGAAGTCATCCATCCATCCATCCATCCATCCATCCCCTATACCGCTTATCCTTTTCAGGGTTACGGGGAACCTGGAGCCTATCCCAGGGAGCATCGGCCACAAGGCGGGGTACACCCTGGACAGGGTGCCAATCCATCACAGGGCATTCATACACTACAGACACTTTAGACACGCCAATCAGCCTACCATGCATGTCTTTGGACTGGGGGAGGAAACCGGAGTACCGGGAGGAAACCCCCACAGCACGGGGAGAACATGCAAACTCCGCACACACAGGGCCACGGTAGAAATCGAACCCCTGACTCTGGAGGTGTGAGGCAAACGTGCTAACCACTAAGCCTCCGTGCGCCCTCGGAGAACTCAGTGTTCTCAAAAAGCTCTCAAAGTGCCGCTCAAATGTATCTTTCCTACTGGGAATTCGGAAATTTTCCAGTTCATATTTGGTCACTAAGGCCTACATTAATGTTGTTCTCAACATTTTGGACTTCCATCCATACTGTGTAGTACTTTATACTATATATTATATACTATATATCCTATATTTACACTATATACAATGTGCAGTATAATACTTTTATTTTATTTGAATAAAAGTATGTGCCAAACTAAATGTTAATTTTAGCATGCAGTTTATATGATTAAAGGAAACACAAGTCTAATTTTGCCAGAGTTCTTCCATTCGAAGGGCATGTGCAGTCTTATATCCAGCTTAACAATTCTACAGTGCGACAAGAACCGCACGGAATTAAAGATGACTTATCTCCACAGCACCTCTCGCCACAAAGCCGGTGTTATTGTTTCCCTCTTGTTGTAAACAGCACTAATCACAGTGCGCACAGGGAGCAGAGGAAGTGAAATAGCCTTGGGTTGGCACGGACCAGTCGGAGGAGCTCCGGAGCGGAAAGCTTTAATGAAGACTGGCCTGCTCCACCCCTACTGAATCACAATAAAATCCGAAAGAACAATCCAGTGGACACTTTTCATCTTAGTTTGCTTTTATGCTTTGTATTCAGTCCTGTGCTACAGTATATGACACCCTGGGCTGTGTTTTACAATTCATATTAGTTTATATTACTTTTCCATTGCAGTCATGACCTGCCTATAAAATGTGGGCTAAATAATGAGCCTGAAGTAAAAACGAGGGCAATAACCATTTAGTAAATGTTTAAACAGATGAAATCAGCTATATAAAATCTGAAAGCTGGAAAGAGTGATACAGCAGTGCGTTTGTCGTGTCAGGCCGCATTAGAGCTCAAAACAAACTTCTACTGCAAATGAGTGAGGAAAAAGTGCACACTAATTCAATATTCCTAGAGCAGGGGTTGCTAAATATTTTTGCAGCGGTTTCAAAAAAAGAAAGGGAAAAAAAAAACAGCTTCTATAATTAATACGTGTACAATTAGCTATTCAAAAATGATGTCAGTAGTTTTTGAAGCAGGTGTACAGTTTCATTAGACAAACCAAAGGGTAGTGATCAGAACCAGTAGGCAGACAAAGGGTCAAGCTAGTGATGTTATGCTAGGTACTCAGGCTTCGATGTGTGTTTTATAGGGTGGTGGTGGTCGTCGCTCAGTGGTTAAGACATTGGACTTTTGATCAGAAGGTCATGTGCTCAAATCCCAGTTGTTACCCAGATTATATCACTGTCTGGAAGTTTGATGTAACCCCAATATATATTCATTAATTACTAGTATTTTCCCTTTAAAGTTTTTAAGGATATAAACAACACTTACTGTTTATGATTATTTAGGCTTACAAAAAAAAAACTACACTATGTGCCAAAAAACGTGGACACCTGACCAGTACACCCATAAGTGGTTCTTTCCCAAACTGCTGTCACAAAGTTAAAATAAAACTTTATTGTATAGAATGTCTTTGTATGCTGTAGTATTACAATTTCCCTTCACTGGAACTCACAGGCGCAAACCTGTTCCAGCATGACAACACCCCTGTACACAAAGCGAGCTCCATGAAGACATGGCATGTCAGGGTTGGAGTGGAAGAACTCAAGTGTTCTGCACAGAACCCTGACCTCAACCCTACTGAACACCTTTTGAGATGAACCAGAATGCAGACTGAGCCCCAGTCCTCCTCACTGAACATCAGTGTCTGATCTCATTAATGCTCTTGTAGCTGAATGAACACAAATCCCCACAGTCACGCTCCAAAGTGGAAGTCTAGTGGAAAGCCTTCCCAGAAGAGTGGAGCTTCTTATAACAGCACACGGGGAATAAATCTATAACGGGATATATAAAAATGTGGTTCAAATGTAGGTATTATTGTCGGGTGTCCACATACTTTTGGCCATACCGTGTGTATATAAAGCACATACTCAGATATGTGGAGCACGGAAACCTTAACCCTTTCATGCATGTATAAATGATTTATTTGTTTATTTTCAGTCCGTTTGCATACCGAAGTGCTGAGTGTATCGTCCACCTCTTCATTTTCTGCTCAGTTTATTCCATTAATTCATTTAGCGAATAACCTTTTGGAATGCCTAGCTCAGTTAACTGTCAGAGCGTAAATGTTGACATTGTTAGCGCAAACACAATCCTTCATTTAGGTATATAGATGGCACGCATCTGCAAGTTTTGCCTTCAGCTTTCGCAGCTGCCGAGTTTGCAAGAACTGTCAATTATGCAGTTTCATAAGTTGCTACTTGCAATAACCCTATTATTTCAATATTTTAAATAATGATTATTCAGCCGCTGCTCACATAATTAAAGCGTGTAGGCTATATTTTATGCCCTCTGCAACTCTGATAACTACCATATACCAATTTGACCCTTATTTTACATGCAGTAATAAGATTGTGTGCTAATTCATGTGATCTGATTCATGGGGTGATTCTGATAGAACAGTCACAAATGAGATTTTAATTGGAACACTAACACTACTGTGTAAGCCAACAGTAGTAAAATATTACATTTTAAATGAAAAAATGCAGAGATATGAAAGTTGTGGTCAGAGCAGAGGTGGGAGTAGTGTTCGTAATAGTATCCAATCACACTGCATTTCAAAAGTGAGTATACCCCTCACATTTTTGTATGATAATGAACCCAAACACACCTCCAAGACGACCACTGTCTTGCTAAAGAAGCTAAGGGTGAAGGTGATGGACTAAACCCTATTGAGCACCTACCTCAAACAGAAGGTGGAGGAGCACAAGGTCTCTAACATCCATCAGACGTGATGTCGTCATGGAGGGGTGGAAGAGGACTCCAGTGGCAACCTGTGAATCTCTGGTGAACTCCATGCCCAAGAGGGTTAAGGCAGTGCTGGAAAATAATGGTCTCCACACAAAATATTAACACTTTGCCCAATTTGGACATTTTCACTTAGGGGTGTACTCACTTTTGTTGCCAGCGGTTTAGACATTAATGGCTGTGTGTTGAGTTATTTTGAGGGGACAGAAAATTTACACTGTTACACAAGCTGTACACTCACTACTTTACGTTGTAGCAAAGTGTCATTTCTTCAGTGTTGACATATGAAAAGATATCATCAAATATTTACACAAATGTGAGGGGTGTACTCACTTTTGTGAGATACTGTGTGTGTGTGTGATGTCTGTGTGTGTGTATACATAAATGAGCAATGCAAAATACATTATGTTTCCTGCCTACGAAGATCTGAAGCAGTAAAAGAGGCAAAGAGGGCTTGAGAATCTGATTTTTACATTTTCTCTCTCCAAATTTTCGCTTGCCCTCATGGTGAACTAAACCCTAAAGTCTTTCCACAGCCACTAGCTCACCATCCATTATTGAAGATATTGCATTTCATAAAGCATGTGCCACGTTTACAGATAGTCGCTCTGTCCCGTGCTTAGCAAAGCTTGTTTTATTGATCGCCTGGTCTTTCCATACAAAACGCACACTTCTACCCTTAGGACAAGAAAATGGGAGGAATGTTCACTCTTTGTTCTGGCAGGAGGAGACGTTTCTTTTTAGAAAACATCAATGCTGTGAGCCAGGGGCTAGCATGTGCCTCAGACTCTGATAATCTAGTGCTTTTTAGTGTCACTTCAGGTCTGCAACTGTTCAGTTGTTAAAAGTGGAAAATAATGAATCTCAGGTGGCTGATCATGTTGAAGGTCATGATAGAAGTTGGAAGAGATATGACACAGATGCATTTTTATACCATAGCGCTGTTAAATTCTCAATTCTGATTGGTTAGATGGTGATGAATTTGGGCCATAATACAAATGATTGATTTAAATTACTATGTTATGGTTTCTATAGTAACAACTTATTCACATGGACTTTGTATGGCAGGCATTCTGCATAATCTAAGGCAGATTTTTATTTATTTATTAATTTTCTTTTTAAAAATAAAAAAATATATACAGTACAATCATTGGTATGTTGAAGCTTTCTGTAACTAGATGTTTATTTAACATTTATGGAAGGAGTCTGCACAAGAAACTCTCTGTAATATACGCTTTGTTGTTTTTTTTTATTAACTTCATGAGAGAGAGAAAATAAAGAAGCTGGTGCCGTTAACTTGCTTCCACAATATTAAATGCAGCTATAAATGGTTAAAAGGAATACAAAGTTGTAGCATCTAGACGAAAGTAAAAGTCAAAATCCAGCTCTAGTTACCAGACAAATATACAAAGACATATCTAGACCCAAAGAAAATATCCAAATTTTGCTGGAAAGACCTGGCTAAAACCTGGTCTAGACCTGAATTAAATGTTCAGAACTAGACTTTGACTTACTGAAGCGGTTCAAATCTGCTGTTTCCTTTTTATTAATCCCAGTGCACTTGCTGGATGTTAAATTTTAGCAAATCATGGGACAAACACAAGTGGAAGGGAAATAAAGGCTTCCCTGAAACTGGCGTCATTAAACTTTAAGTGATCGTCCGAGCCACAGGGATGGCCGCTGGCGATAGAAAGGGTATTTAAAGAGACATAATTGTTTTGAGAGCTGGGATACAAACCGTGCTGCCTCGTGTCTCTACTGAACCGTTAAAGAGAATACAGTGGATTTGAGCATACAGTATGTCAAAATGTTAGACTGCATAGTTGATCACAACAGCAGACGAGATTTTAATGACGAATCATTTTATTATTTCAAGCATGTTCATAATAACTGACTGGCACAATTAATCCCAAAACACTCGATCAATTTATTTGGCACTGAACGTGTTCGAAGTATCAAGAACCATTGGAAAACAGCATTCGAGATTCATAGTAGATTCCCTCCCACGGTATGACACTTCTCCGTGTCATCATTAAATACATTTCTCAAGTCAGGACAAAGAGAAACCTGGGTGTGTCTTGTGAACCATTTTGCAATTTGTTCAAGCTTAGCTGGAATTCAAACTAATTTCTCCCCAAAATCATTGAGTTTGTAGAAACAGCTACATGCTGACAGGTACATGTTGGTTCATGGGCAGGCCTTAATTAGTCCGAGCTGGTGTGCTGGTGGAGAAGACGAGGGAAAGAAAGAGAGGCTGACTACGCTGGATACACTGACGGCGGCTTCCTTGTCGGTTCTGCTCTTAAGCTCTTCACATTCCATTAGGTGTGAGTCGGAACATGAGGCAAAGCTCTGCATGCTGGTGTCAGTGGTGGAGCTGGAAGCTTGTCAGAGCCAATGGCCATCAAGCAGATCTTCAAGCAGTTTGCCCGACTGTATATAATTCCAAACCATGCTCAGTGATTCTCGAGTCTTTGCGACTGATGCTGTCGAAACGAGGTTTACGCTACTACAACGTCTGAGTTTATTTCTATTCATGCTGTATAAAAAAAAAACATCGGAAAAACAGTCAGATTATAAAACGAGAATTTAAAACCGTTATCAGAAATAAAAGCGGACCGAAATCAGGGTTTGATATTTAAGATCAATCTATAACTGGGAACGAGGTAAACAGCATTTGCTCTCTTTGTCAATGCGCAAAGTCCATTTGGTTTTTACTACATATCAAATGTTAAATGCTACGTTTTGATTTTAAGCAATAGAAGCTACACAGGTATCAGCAACACCAAATGGCCCTGTATGGACTGAAAGTGTGTGACTGGGTGTGTGTGTGTGTGTGTGTGTGTGTGTGAGAGACTTGAATGTGCCACTTGTCGAACGTCATGTTGCACTGAAGGTTAATGTGAGACTCCATGCTTCATGCGTAGTTTCACCCTGCAAAATAGAAAGGAGAAGACAGGCAAGGTCAAATGAGCAACTGTGCTTTTATGGAAAGACTCTGATAGGTTTAGATTAAAGTAACACCTGAGCGGCTGTGTTTTTGCACCAAGTGCAGGAATGCATAATAACCTCACAGGCCGAGACGAGGGGAAAGCAGAAATCAGCAGATTGATAATCCTTTTTACTGAAGACTCGCTCTGACACCTTGCTGACACTAAAATCTGAAAGGAGGTGAAACCATCACTATCTTGTATATATCTCTAAACAAATTGATGTGGTGCTTCGGAATATAAATCTGAAATTATGGACTTGTCATCTTCAGGAGGAATATCGGCTCTGCATACAACATGTTCACTGTAGTTGAAGCATTACATTTTATTACATTGCATTTTGGGATGTCTCTTGCTGCTAGAGACAGATTCTGACAGAGGACATGTCCTAGACCCAGAGAAAACCATACAGTCAATAAATATAGGTACAGA